GGCGGCGTTCGAGAAGCTGTGCCCGGCTGGGCGCCGGTGCGACTGCGCTGAGGTCTGGCAGGACTGTCCGCAGGCGGGTAAGCGTTAGCTTTGCTTTTGTTGTTTGTTTTTTTAGTGCAGGCCTGTAAGTGGGATTGCGACGATGTCTGACGCGGGGGGTGGGGGTATAAACGGTTAATGTGGGGCGCAGAGATGGGAGCAGCGTGGTTTTGTCTGCAATAAGGATGTCTCTGCCTGTTATCTCTGGTGGGCTGGAGCCAGCGATGATCATTTCCCAAGTGTGAGAGAGGTTATTGCCGTGAGAACCAAATAGTTGTTAAGCTTAAGGGGTTGAGTCTGGTCACATTTTCAGGCCTCGGGATTGTTACGTACATGTAAACTGACTTATAGAAGCAATTGCTGTGAGCGATGTACAGATGTGCCATTTTAAACAACCTAATTTGAGTGTAACTTGGATAAATGCTTTAAGCCAAAAGGTGAAGATGGCATGGTGTGTGTTTTCTGTAACTTCTAAAAACTTGATGGTGTTTTCCTTAAAACCTAGTTCCTAAGTGGTGTCTGGGAATGTTGCAGATAAAGGTGGTCCTCTGTGCTTTAAATCCTTTCTGCTAGTTGCGTTTTTATCTGTAAAGCAGTTAAAATACACGTGTGATTTACACGCGTCTTCAAATGTTGTCTTAATTTATATTTAATCAATCAAGTTATTTATTGATTTCTGTTACTTAAGGGTAATGAATTAAGGTGTGCGTGTTTTCTCGCTGAACAAAGTTGTCCAGTTTGTCTGTCTTCTTTCATTGATCACACAACACTTGTCCTGTTTTATGGGTAAACCCCCAGAAATTTGCACAGCACTTGAGATATGGTGCGCTTGTTCAGAGGATAAAAATGTGCAAATAAGACCACCAGTAGCACTTGCAGTTGATGTCTTGGAACGGTCACAAAAGGCATTTGTATCCTATGAGAGTTGGAACAAATCGAGCCAAATGATGTCATTATTCCATTAAAATCTTTCTCAGTTGGTAGAAGTATGCATTTGGCTGCTATAAATTCTTTTAAATTTTAAGTTTTAATTTTCATGTGCTTCTTGCTGTAGAGATGTAATTCTGAGGTGATTTTTTTTGTGAAGTCAAGACTAGAGAGTGTCACATATATATAGAAAGCGAAAGAAAAATGAGCATGTGTATTATAAGAGAGAGAATAAAAAGGGCAGGGTAATGCAGGAATGAAAAAGAAATGGCTTGGGAGTACCAGGAGGTAGGTGTGTCAGTGTTGTGTACATTTTCTGGTAACCCAGGTATCCTCCTGCTTTTTTGAGCAAGACATGGTACTTGCTGTGTTTGAACGATTGCATTGTGCATATTCTCTTAATTGTGCAGACCAATTATTATATGTTATTTTACACTTCTATTTAGTTTGGCTGCTTTACATGTTAAAGTTGTTGGTGTTCCCCATTTGATAGAGTGAACTCTTGTTTGAAATAATTTAATTTTTATTTCAGTAAGAATGGGTAACTTTATAGGTACGGTGTCTGCCATGGATTGTATTCTAGATCCTAATTATATACAATAATAGAAGGGCTGAGTGATACTAATGCAGATGGTATTGATTGTTCTTCCCCTTTCAAACTTGTAAAGAACAGTTTGATGGGTTGGGAGACATTTGGTCCTTTCATCCCTATCTCCACCTAGTCCTGATGTATGCTTTAGATTTGGAGGGTTTGCTTTAATTAAGTTAAATGTCAAAGATCGATGGTCCTCTGCTGCAGTGCTACGGGACAATGAGAATAGTTTCATCAAGGTAACCTCTGTTTTGGGATGCATTTCTCCGGTAGTTATAAAATTAATTTGAAAGTTTCTCATGTACTGTCAATTGACTTAAAAGTGTAACTGTGATTTTTAGAGGTATCTAGGGATGCAGGACATGCTCTCATCTGCAAAGTTTTAGATGTGAATTTCTTTGTCACTAGAGAGTCATTTGGAGATAAAGATCAAATCTGAGAATGATTGCTGTTGTGACATGGTGGAATTTGGCAGTTTCAGGCCTAAGTTTATTTTTTTTCTTAAACCACCATTTCAAGTGCCTGGAACTCTCACCTTCTTGTATATGTCCTTGCTAATGAATGTAATGGCCAGGAGGAAACATCCAGCTTGCTGGGTTTCAGTGTAAGATACCCTACTTCATCAAATGGCCTGAATGCTAAAAACTTTGCCCTGTGTAAAAGTGGCAAAATTTGGGGTTTTTTTCTTCTGTTAATGAGCAGTTCTGCTGGTAGAATTAAAACGCAACTGTGTTTTGTTATACTTTAGGTAGACCCTCACCTAGTTTGCTTTGTTTTGCTGTATCAAAATGAGCCATACAGCTATGAGAGTCATTACCAGGATGACCAAGCCCCATCTCGGTGAACCCATCTTGGCCCCATTTCAGTTTCTGAAAGTGTCAGGACAGTTTAAACAGCGGTTTGTAGCCAGGGGCTGACAGGACAAGATTATCTCCTTGAAACACAGATTCCTTTATCGTATATGTTCTGAGCTTAGGCAGCAAGCTTTACAAATTTGTCCTGCTTCTCCATGAGCGTCCAATAATTTTGGACCTGAGATTCCATTTCTGTTTCAAAATGTGCGAACAACTGAATTGTTATGATTTTTTTTAAACCCATTCTGCATCACCAAATACCTCCACAGTAGGCTGGCTCAAAAGCACAACCAAGAGGTTTACCTGTGTCTGTTGGGGCTCCAGAACGAGCTCTGAATTGTAGAAGGGAGTTGTGTGCTGGGATGCGCAGCAGTACTTGAGGCCGGGAACAGGAGGCTCTAGATGCGAATTTGTAATCCTGCTGTGAGAGAACAGTGGTCTAGCAAAGGTTTAGCTTGTAATGTCGTATATATCAATTGTGTATTATTTATACAAATAAAGATTTGTATAATGGATCTGAACTCCTGCTTAGCTGTGGTGTTTACTGGACATATCAACGAGCCTGGTTTTGGATGATGGTTTTACCTGCAGTAGTAGTGATTCAAATGAAGGCACAGATATTATAAACCTTGCCTGTGTTTTGTTTCTTCTTTGTAGCAGATTTCACTGTGATCTCATAAAGCGTTTTTCTTTGGCGATATTTCTTGATTTGTAAGTGGGATGGATAGATTAATCTTAAACTTGGAATTATGTTTAGTGATTGTGATTTGTTTAAAAAATAAGTACAACTTAGTTTTCTTGATTGTGTTTTTAAATAGTTGATTGGGAGCAGGTCTTGCGCGAACTGACACATTTCTGCTTGTATCAGCTTACACAAAAACTTCACCTTTTTTAAGACACAGAAGTACTTTCTTTCCTTGTTTTTTGTAAATGTGCTTTTGTCTATCTGTCGGTCTTTATTCTCTCTGTGTGTATTCTTTGGTATATATACTTTTATTCTGAGTAGAACTTCTAACTTAAAATTTTTCATAGATAAGGAAGAGCCAGACAAGGCACGAGAGTCTTAATATGTTTTGTGGGTTGCTTGTTTTTTTTTTTTTTTATGGGGTTTTTAGGTGTTTTTTTGTTTGTTTGTGTGTTTTGGTTTTGGGTTTGGTTTTTTTTTTTTCAGTTTGGTCAGCAGCATAGCAGAGGTAGCTACAGAAAGCAGTATGGGGAAGCATATCAAACAGAATTTTGGTGTCTAAATTTACATTTGATACTTTAAAGCAATATTTATATGTGCTGTTTTCAATTTGTAGCATGTTTGCATCTGAAAAATTGATCTAAAAGTCTACTGGAGGAACTGAGGAAGAATCTGTTGAGAATTGGTG